GTGTATTCACATTCATATGAGTGCCGTTTCGAGTGCTTGAATTGAGTATTGATATGTTTGGGGAGTGGGTAAAAAACTAAACTGCAAACTAAGCCAATTAATTGAAGCTTTGATAATGGCACTCAATAGTCCGATATCAATCAAAGCCTGCCGGCATTCCAGCTTAACAAACCCCATTGATGGATGTTTCAATTCCAGATGGCGGGCAGCAATTGCTGCGGTACTTTTAATAAACCTTTCATTAAAATACTTTATCTGGCCAAAAGTGGAACTCGAACCGGCATGCGTTTTGCACAATTCAAAAAGAGAACTAGAAATGTTATTCCCAAAACAAATAGAATATCTAAATCTAACCAATACGGGTTTCCAATTCGTTTTTAACTTTTTAACAGCCAAAAAGGTTTTCTGGTTTCGACTTCTACACGAAGTACACCAAGTACACTACGAGTAGAAAAACTTTTTAAATAGCATCAACAGTATTTTGTATTTAAAAACCATAAAAGATTTTAAAAATACATTCATTTAAATTTGCAACATGCCTTTATGAAGAATATTTAATTGTTTCTACAAGTGTCGATAAAAATATAATTGAAAAATGTTCCTTAAACTATTCAAAAATCAATAGATTTTTTCTTTTCCTGGGAAAGCCAACTGCAGTGTTTTTTATGTGTGAATACCCCTTGAAATGGCTAAGGAGGGTGTATAGCTTTTGTGCGAGTGCATGTAAAATAGGGTAAATGACCCATGTCTCTCCAAGCATGAATGTATTGATCTCGAGAATTATGCGAGCTAGAGATCGATAAGAAACGATAACTCAGAACTGTTTTTTTGGCATATCTCGAAGGACACCAAATTTGGCATCTAGACTTTCATAAAGCATAGACAAAATCCAGCTTGTTCCACATTATGAATACTTTCACCCTCCCCCTTTTGTTCATGAAGGAGTTTAGCATGCTGGCGCAGCTTGTCGCTGGGCTTAGGGTAACTTCTAGCCGTGCACTCCCCACTAGAGCACTCTTAGCTGTTTGTTATACATATTTTGTTTTGTGCCAAGCTCTAGAAATAAGCAAGTCAATAAGTACAAAGTGCTGTTGCACTTTGACTTTAGTGTAAATTGCAAATTGCAAATTGCAACAAAAATGTGGCAATGCGGCTGCATTTAAGGCCCGCAGCTATTTGGGCCTCAAATTTCAATTGCGGCTTATGCAACACATTTTGCCAAATGAATTGTTCGGCAAATCAATTTGCATATTGCGCGACGCATTCTGCGAGCATGTGTGTGTGCCCCTTGTGTAGCACACACACACACAGACACACACATATGCGTGCGCATTGAGTGAAATGACGATTTACAAAATATTTTTGTGTTCACACTCAATTAATGCCAATTGACTGCAAAATTGCAAACACCTTTGACACGTTTTCATTTGCCATGTGAAGCAAATGGAAATGTGCAAACAATCCATGTGTGTGCGTGTGTGTGTGTGTGTGTGTGTGAGAGAGTGTGTGTGAGTGTGTGTGAGTGTGTGAGTGTGTGAGTGTGTGTGAGTGTGTAGACAATTCCAATTGACTATTGGGCACATTTGGCAGGATGACCCTCGTTGTATTTGTATTTAGTTAGCTTTGCCGCTGCCGCAGCGGCTGCTGTAGTTGAATGTAAAGTAAATCAATAAATAAATTGCCGCATGCAAAATTCATGAGACAGTTCACAATCAACAACAACAGAACCAACAACAACAACAACAACAATAACAAATGTATCAATAACCCAGCGACAACCGCAGCAAATTATTGACATTTTGAACGCAATTGAACTTTTGCGCATAAATTAAGTAAAAATGTTGGCGAAACAAGAAACAACAAAAATTACAATAAATAAACGAAAATAATAACAAATAAAATTTAATAAAATTTAAATATACTCGCTGCAGAAACGTGCAACGGCATCAAATTGAATTAAATGTAGCTGCTTAATTGATAAATAATTATTATTGTTATTACATTAAATTACTTGACCCAGGCCACGAACTGCAAACTCCATGCACTTTATATTTTCAATATATTCCCTTTTATTTTGTAGGCAGCTAAAACTACCCTGTTGCAAGTGGAGCAGAGAGCGAGCGAGAGCTTGACATGCTCTCAAAATAACTAAACACATAACTTTTGCACAATATTTGAAATAAGCACTTACAATATAGATATAAAGAAGGCTGTGATTGGGCTTGAATATAACTAACAAGCGCTCTAAATGACAGTGCCCGACAAGGGGATATCCTGAACCATCTAAAAAATGAAAGATACTTGTTCTGTATATAGAAGATAAATGTCAGCTTTGATGACTCTACCCATTAAAGCCTAAGAGATTTGCTAAGAAAACAGGATTTCGTTATCGATTTTTATCGATTGCCCGGAAACGAGGCAAGCTATCGACTATCGTGTCGACAAGCTCGTACTATACTGCGCGGGCACTGGGAGCACCTACGTTGATTTCAAGTCCTTAGCAAGAGCTATAAGAACAGGTTCTGAGATCCTTGCGTTCGTATATACGCACAGACGAACGGACAGAAAGCCTAGATTGGTTTTACTTAGCGTGTATCCCGAGGGGGCTTACTACAGATTCGTATATTACCCGCAGATTATTCGTAAATACCACATATGTGACATACATTAGAGCGGGCCAAAACAAAGTGTGGGATCCCTCTCAGGGATCCTGCATGCGCAGTGTCCTTTCGGTACTAAATGGAATGCATTTTATTCGAGCATGACATGACCCTTTGTGAAGAGCGATATATACTTCATGGGCTCAGCGATGTTTCCTTCACCCTGTTGTAGCACAAAAACAATATACCCTTTTTACAAATTTTCAATGGGTTCAGGTTATAAAAACATATTAAACGTCGTTTATTCGTATATCTCAACTTCAGCTTTAACAAGCACGCATTAATTTCGATTCTCGTCACGATCAAGATTCATTATAATACTTTTATTTGTTTTTTATGTCACGATCTTGCTGTAGGATTGGAATAACTATATATTTTTTGTAAATAATTTTATAAATGATAGAAGATCGTTTTCAATCTAAAGATCCACTTTATTGTTACAGCTGAGTTCCTTGGGAGTTGCCACATTAGAGCACACAAATATATGTTTTCAGCCAGGTGGCAACCTTGTTTGCGAATTATGTAAGCATTTTTCTACTTCTCGTGCATTTTTAAGTACTTAATTGCATATTAAAGTGTCCCAAAAGAAACAAATATTTTCGTAACAGAAAAGTCATTAACTTTGAAGGCCTTTAAATGAGCTTTTCCTTAACGTGTCAATCATTAAGTTCAGTTATTTTTAACGCAAGTTATGATGACATATATGAGCTCAGCTCTCAATAAGTTTATAAACAAGCTAAAATGCACTTTATAAAAGTTGTTATTGTTAAAAATAAAACCAAGTGTGTTGGCAAGTTTTACCAAATATATTTAAATGGGTCGATTGAATTGTGTTCTTTAACTTTCTACGATCGTATTATACAAGATTCCAATGGCAGGATGTAAGTATTTTTATCTGAAGTTTGTTTCTATTTAAATTAACTTATTCGTACAAAACAAAACGGTCTTCATAAGTTAAAACTGTTTCTGCTTATATCATCGCACTTCGGCTTATGCAGATGGTATGGGAATTAACATATTTATAGGGTATATATGTAAAGACTCATGTGTATGTATACGTAATTTTGTGCTGATTTCGAGCGATTTGCTTGCAAGCAGCGCCATCTGCTCATGGGCAAGTGGCTGGGTTGGGTTTGGATTGGCTTGAGAACGGTGGGGGGTTATCGGGGGTGTGGCTACAACAGAGGGGCAAGTGCGTCAACGATCTGTGACAGCTTTCTGTAATTTACATTCTGTATTCCGAGTATTCTCTGTATTCGGGCACATGGTCAGTTATCTGGCTGCTCCGCTATCGCTTCCGGGTGCGCTCGCTCGCCAATGCCAGACCCAGACCCAGAGTCAGAGTCAGAATCAGAGTCAACTCCGTGTGGTGAGTTTGGGAGTGAGAAGCGCAGAGAGAAGCCACCTGCAGGCTGCGTGTTTGGCATACATTTGGTGCACTGCTGCGGCTGTGAGTGTGGGTGTGGGTGTGGGTGCCAGGCAGGAATTAGGCATGCAGCCCTGGTAAATGCAATTAAATGCAAATTGCGACCCCATGCGCTGAGCTTGAGCTGAGCTTTGGTTGGATAACCCCGTTAGCGGCCAATTTCGACAGCTCAGCAAAGTCAAAGCTCGGCGTCGACGCTGCACTTAAAATTCATTGTGAGCTCTTGTTTTTTTATTTTTTTTTTTGCTGTGCAGCACTTGTTGTTGTAGCCGATTTTATTTTAATTAAAATTATGTCAACGCAATTGAAATGTTATTGAACCAATTTAACAGCGCCGAGTTCATTAATTTGGATTTTGTAATTTTTATTTCAATGCGCAGCAGCAACTGTTGCTGTTGTTGCCGATAGCAGCACCAAAAACACAGATGAAAAAATATAAAAGGGTGAAAAACAACAAGAATATCGGCAATATTTATGCACAGCGAAAACATTTCGGCGCAGTCTCACATAATTTATGGCAATTGTGATAAAGAAAGGGCCGTGTTGTGGAAAGCCTCTGCCTCTGCCTCTGCCTGGAAATGCATTTCCAGCAAAAAACGAGCAACAGCCGCACGTAAACAGTTGTGTTTAATCAACTAAAACAGCAGCGGAAAAAATAAAGAAAAAACCAAATTTTTAATAAAATTCAATCAAAAGGGAAGCTCACCCATTCACAATCAGCACTTACCCCACGCTCACTTTCCCCCCCGCTCTGTGCAGTACAATATTTATGCAATTTATGGCTCGAAAATTATCAGCGCAAAATACGCGAAAACAACAAATTAACAAAAATCAAAAAATATTTACATATATATTATACATATATAAATTTATGATACGCGCATGTTTGTACTCGCATTTGTACTCGTACTCACCCCAAAGCAGGCGACATAAATGTCAAATGACAACTGGAATACGAAATGCAACGCCAACAGTTTTTGTGTGGTGTGAAGTGTGGTCGACAATCCTTGAACAGGAATATATGAATATGCCTCGCTCCCGCTCTTGCTATCTCTCTCCCTCTCGCTCTCTCTCTTTCCCTCTTTCCCTCATGCAAGCTGTCTTCAATTGCGGGATTTCTGTGGAAAAAAAGAATACAGAATTAAATTAACCAACATTAAAGATAACATTTTTGCTTGTGGAAAAGTGTTGCAATTAAAGCTTCGCTCGTGTTAGCTAGTGGTGCTGAGGGGTATTTCATTGATTAAAGCTGCACTTCAAAGCTATCTCAAACATTAATTTTATTGCAGCAAAATCTTTATAAATGGTAAAATTAATCTTTAAGCCTTCACGTGCTTCAACTCTTAATATGATAAAAAGCTCTTATATATATATAAACCTAATTCAGTAACGAGGTGCTTAAAGTGCTTAAGTCTAAACATTAATGCGCTTTAATATCTTATATTATTATTCTTAAGCCGTCTTTATCTACTGTATGATCAAAAGATTTAAAATCATATTTCCAATTATCCAAGTGTGCTTTAATTAATCGAGTCAAAGCTTTCACATGCTGTTAAAATTATGCTTAAGCTTTCAGTTTGAAAGCTAAATCTGCTTAATGAGCTTTGACGTGCCTTTAAATTCATATTTTATAGAGACTTACATAATTTGACTTTCGATAAAATGTATCTAAAAGTAATAAAGGCTTTTATAAGTAATGTAGTCAAAGCTTTACTGTGTTTCCTTATCTGGTTTTGTGACTGTTGTTTTACTTGCAAATGTGCTTGGGCCTAGAGCTTTAACGTGCTTTCAAATTTTAATTTTTTTGAGACTTACTTTTGACAAAAAATAATCTGATAGTGATCAAAGTAAGTGATTTATGTAGTCAAAGGTTTAATGCGCTTTTACAGCTGTTTTTTATACTCGTTGCAATTTGAATTGTGCTTCTGCATCCTGTCCGCAAGCTTATTATACACGTAGTAGTAGCTTTAACGTACTTTTCAAATCCTATTTTAAGTGAGCTTTAATAAGCTGACTCGAAGCTTTCATTTGCATTTATAGCTGTTTCCTACTCTTGTAACTATTTCAATTGTGCTTGTGCTTCCCGTCTGCAAGATTAGGTTTATTTTGAAGTTAAAGCGTATTTGTATTTGAGAATGCCTGCTAGTGAAATTAGGCTGTGAGCGAAAACGCGCAAATGTTTCACTTCCATTTGCTTCGACTGTCGTCAAGAGGAAGCGTGGGTGTTGGGCCTATCGGATAGCCCATATATAAGACCTTGACTAGCAGCTAGCCGGAGCTTTTGTGTTTTTATAAAGAATTTAACTTGAGACAAACAACAACTAAATCGAGCGCCGATTAAAGTTGTTTATAGAATAGAACTATACATTTTTACTATATATTCCCGGTTATCAGTGGTGGATTTTCATTCATTCGAATATGCTGGAAGTGCGGAACGCCTTAAGCAGCTTTAAGCTGTGCCACATTGCCATTCGCCATTTGCCATTTGGCATTCGCCATTTCCCGGCAAGATTCGACCCATGTGCTGGCCAATATTTTTCCCATTTTCTCGTGTTCTGCGGCGTTCAATGTAACAAATCCAGTTATTTGTTGAATTTGACAGTTTAATTCTACGCCTCGATGAGCGTTTGCCCGAATCAATAAAAACCAAAAAAGTACCCTAACCAATCTGACCCTAAACACGAACCGCTCCCCTCCGCTCCACCCCTTAGCCATAGCCTGCCAACTGCGGCACGCCCCCCGCTCACGCAATGTTTTTTGTCTATCTCAATTTGTGATGTGCGTTGCTTTATTTGGGTTACTGTTGATTTGAAATCAAACAGGTTTTCGCATTCAACTTGACATTCAATTTTCGGTCCACACTAGCAAGGAGCGCACTTGGGTCTAGCTCGTGGGCCAGAGAGGGTAGCCAGGATTACCAGAGTAGCCAGGGTAGCAAGGGTAGCCAGGGTAACCAGCTAATCAGATGTTATCTATGTGTGTATGTGTATCTGTGTGCCCATCACAGCGCCAAATTGCAATCAAAGTGTATTGTATTTGTAAAAAAACATGAAACAATAAAAGTAAAATTTGCATTCAGCCGAGAAATTTCTATGTCGCCTATAAGTGGACACCAGATATTCAGGTTCCACGCAGCCGCTACGGGAAAGCTGGGGGAGGCTGGGGAAGGCTGGGGAAGGGTTGGGCGCTGTGGGCCACTGTGGTGAAAACTTGTACCGAAGACAAACAGAAAACATAAGTGTACAGCGCTATAAAAACAGCAAAGCGCAAATCAAGAAAGATAATAAAAATTGAACAATAAAAGAAGAGAAATACGCAAACAGCAAAAACAATAACAACAACAGCTAAAAATGCCGTCAAGTGCCAAAAACACGTTTAAATGTCAAAATGTAACTCCCCAGACGACGACAACAACAACAACAACAACAACAACAGGAACAACAACAACTGCAACAGCTGCAGTCGCTGAGGCGCCGAAAAAGCAACAAAAATCAAATTAGCGCCAAGCAATGTCGCCGCTGCGCAGCGCTGTCAACGCCGACGTCAGCGCCAACGTCAACGTCAACGTCGCAGCGACTGCGCCAGCTTCCAGTTCCAGACTTTTGCAATCATCTTTCAGTTTTGTCGGCTTCTTATTAATTTTTGGAATTTTTTTGCAATTGTTGTTGTTGTTTTCGTTACTTTTTTATTGCCGTTCATAATTTGCGCTTATGCAAAAATAAAAATATTTTTAAATTAAACGCAAATTTTTAGCTTGTTTTCTACTGGCAATAAAAAAAAAAAAAACAAATAAACAGAAAAAAAGTGAAATAAATGGCGACCAACTCCGACAACAGCAACTCGCAATCAAAAATGAAAAATAAATGATTATTATATGATTATAGCGAGAAGTGCGTTAAAATTTATGAGCAATGAAAACTTTTTAAGCTGCCCAAACCCAAAAGGATTATCGAAGCGCGAAACAGAAAAGATTTCAAATGCTTTCATAGAGCTGAGTTTGTATACGAGAAATCAGTCGAGCCATTCTCAGCTTGCAGTTCATAAAAAACAGACTCCATATCAACCCATTCATCTGTTTATCCTCTGGCACTTCTTGGCTTTTCGCACAGCTTTGCTCTTCTTCTTTCTGTCCTGGCAGTGAGCAAAGCGGGCAGATGGCGTTCAAGAGAGTGCCGCTGCCCAATACTGTCCCAAGACAGTTTCATATTCACCATGGTAACACTTACTTACTAAGATTATACTCGAACCCGTTTTGATGACATTAGCAAAGACTATTCATAATAATGGTCTCAAGAGTCGAATTATTGCCAATACTCTTTCGAAAAGTATTCTTACCACAGTCACCCAGATAAGATTGTTTGTAAACTATTTCCTAATTTCAAAAGCCAGTTTCACTAAAGTGTGTCAAGGACAACGTCTGTTCACAAGATTGATACTAACTTTACTCAATACTCTTCCTAAAACTGTTTCCATTACAGTCATTAACTTAAAACTGTTCCTGAAACTATTCCCGTAATTATTTGGAAGATTTTTGCAGTACAGTTTTGTTCAAGTATGTCGTATGATACGAAAACTATTCCCTAAATTCGCTTCCAAGTCAGTTAGCTTAACTGTTACCTTGACAGTGCTGCAAACTGTTCCCATGCCAGTTTTCTTGTCTCTTTAAAAAGCAACAATTCTTTATACTATTCCCATATCCGCGTGTTCTTAGTCCTTTATACACAACTTCGCCGCATCTGACTTTTCTGATTATATAGTATTTAGTATCTGGGCCTCTTTAAAACTATTCAGAGTCTAGCTGCCTCATTGGAAATTAATGGGCAGCTAAAATATTCCGACTGAACGATTAGTTACTCGATAAGACTATCGATAGTTCGATTCGACTGCGAATCATAAATAATAAAAACGAATTTCAATGCAATCATAGCTGCCAGCTAAAATATGAATGTGTTGTCGTGTGCGAGTCATTTGTAATGTCTTCATGACTGCAGCAGCTGCTGCTGCTGTTGCTGCCGCTGCAGAAACTTGAATGCGGCTTGAACTCTGCGTCTGTCGATTGCAACAGATCCGAAAGTGATTGCATGACGGGCCCGCCAGCCTAGTGGCCAAGACATGATTACAGCTTAATTAATTGCAACTGACAATGACAAGGAGCCCCCCCCCCCCCCCCCTCCCTCCCTTCCGTCGGTGGGCTTGAGCCGATGTCAGGGACAGCCAAAAACCAAATACTTACGTGGAACAACAGCATCCATCACGAGGGGACTGCGGGGTCGGAGACTGCGGCAGGCGACTTCTGTGTAACGATTATCAACGGACATAAAGATGCGGCTGTAGCTATACATCGGCGTCTATATAGCTATAGCTCGCTCCGTCGCGGGCACTTGTTGTAATCTACATGACAGCATGACATATAGTCGACGCCTCCCCCCCCCATGCCCCCTGGCCACACCCACAACGATCAGTTTAATGGAGGTCAACGTTCGCCCCGATGTGTTCCGTTCGAGCGAATGATTTTTTCTGTCTTTTTTTTTTTTTTTTTGTTTTTTGCGACTTTAAATGCGGCTTGTTTTCGATTTCGATTAGACAAAGTTGGCATAAAATCAAGCTCCCGCTCTTCAGCTCCTGCTCGGTCCTTCTCTCTCTCTCTCTCTCACTCTCCCTCGCAAATTTGCTCTCTTTTTCTCTCCGTGCTTTTTCGATGTCATTCAACTTTCTATGGGCTGTGCTTATCACAATTGTTGTTGTTGTTGTTGCTGTTGCTGTTGCTGCTGCTGTCGCTATTGCTGCCGTGTGTCTTCTTCGCAGCAACATGTTGCAGTTGCGGCTGCCGCTAACTGGCCCGCTCATTAGTTCAATGATTTTGAATGTAGAGCAACAACAATGCAGCATATATTGCTGTGGCCGGCATTGATTTATCTGCCATCTCACGTTCCAATGCACGACAACAACATCAGCAACAACAGCACCAGCAGCAGCAGCAATGAGAAGGGCTGCCGCCTGCTGGTCGTGATCGGCGGCCAGCTTTGGTCCGATCCATGGCCCACCCATGACTCGCATTGTTTAGTCAACAACATCGTCATCCTCGTCCTCAGCGCCGTCATGCTCATCATCCACATCA